GGACCTGGATTTGGACAATTTTTAACATATTTACCAATGGTGGTAAGCAAGTGAATTTTCCATTTCAAAAACTAATGCTATGCTAATAGAATATACAAGATGTTATCAATACTGTAGGGGTCTGTTTGAGGTCCTTTTACTATGGTATTATAATCCTTGTGGTATACCAGGCTGCTAGCTTATGCTATATATTGTTGGTCTCGCCAAATCCTCAGCATGTACCTTTCCTTTGCTCCCCCTGCTGTGCCGTTCAGCCACCATCACTTTCTGGTGCTCTGTTACATTATAAGCTCTGATGAATGTGGTGCTAATACCAATCATTTTCAGAGATGTTGACATAGCAATGTACATTTTGTTATTCCTCTTGAAGGTGCCATATAAACATAAGAATAGAAATATGTATGTGGCCTGTCATGGCCTGTACTTGTGTTGATGGTATGCACTTAATTTGGTATCATTAATTTAGCTTTTAACGAGCTAGTTAGAAAGACCTCTGAGAACCACAAGTCTGGAAGCAGTGCAGCTGGCAGCAAACAACCCATAGCAAATACTTTAAAATTTTAATAGCCTCTATAAACAGCTGTTACAAAAGAGATTGATCTGACTGTATTCATTTTTCAAGTCTCATTTTATAAGGCTGATCCATGAATAGGAATCTGTGAATTCAGGATTATGGATCTAAAACAGTCACTAAGCATTAGCAACAAAAACGGGAAGAAAAATAAATCCAGATGAAGCAATAACCACAATATATAAGTAGCATATTGCCGGAAACATTATTGAGCTCTTACATTTGTGAAAGCTATAAAATAATTAGTTAAGCATAAACAAAAAAAAAATATTGGGTTCATATTCCATGGCTCATAGATTATAATGGTTTTATAAATCCCCTGGACTCTGGAGCATAGAGCAAATTAATGTCGGTATACACAAGTTAACATTACAGCTGCTTGTGGTACATTACATTTTCTATAACTACAGCCCTTGTAATAAATAGGGAATTGTTGTTAAAATATCGCTCTCTTGGACAGAGCTTACAAGTTTATACCCAAGGCCTGATGTAAGCTATGTGGAAATACTTTATGATTTGTTATATGGCATTTTACACTAACCCATGGTCACAATCAGCTAGAATGCATCTAAACCTAAGAACAAAAAGGTAATATAATGTAACTTACCATTTCTTAGATGTGGTGGCTGCATTAGTTTTATTTTTTCTGTTTTTTTTGTTCCTTTCTTTGTGCCTGGTAATCCTGTCCTATGGTGAAAACACTTACTCACCATAGTACATCTACAGAATAGGAGTGTTGTCACCTTAGGACAACAGTACAGAATCTCTCCCCTTCATAATATAGGGGGGGTGTTCTGTAGTCTACAGCGGTGAACAATGTAACTGATTAGAATGCAGCAAAGGCTGAGAGGTCACATACTAGATCAAACCTGTTAATTTTACAGCCCGTGGGCCGTATCCGGCCCTTTCTCTGGCCCATGGTCCAGACACAGACTGATCACTGACCTGCGATTGGTTATGGTTGGGTGACAGTGGATGCGCCGGCCTCCAAGGCCGGTGCAACCACTGCAAGCCATAGCTAAGTGCAGGGCAGTGATTGGTCCATGTCTGGACCATCAGTCATTGGTTGGTAGGACCTTTTTTTAGGTGTTTCGGAAAGAACAAAAAGAGAGATTGACACAGGAATGATGAGTTGAAAAAAAGAGTAGAAAAGGGAAAATGCCCTGGAACCAGCATGTACGATTGTTCCAAGGCTTGTTTTAAGTCAATAATTAATTACGTAGGAAAGACAGGTTCAAGATGACAGCCATGGAACCTGCACCTTTAAAACAATTCTGTAAAACCAGTTCCAATATTTTTGACCTTACAGGTTTACTTTAAGGGTTCATATTATGAGGTGTATTTAAATGTGAACTAAGGAAATGATGTATTAATGAAAGTCTGGGTTCTGTCTCATAGACTGAATGTAAGTTCTTCCATTGTATATATGTCAGGGGGGCAACATTCTTCTTCCATGTGTATGTATGTATTGTAGCATTCTGTATTTTGTATTGCTTTTTTCTTCTGTCACACAACACTGTAACCAAATTCATTTTATTTCATTTTTGAGACAGCATATTTAATAACCTTTTTTTATTTTTACTATAGAAAGGATAAAAAAACATTTGAAAGAAAAACTTTCTCTTACTTACTGTTATAAAACAGATCAAATGAAAATGTCAGCACAGTACAAAAACCCTAGAAATTACCCCATTTTGGAAAGTAGACACTCCAACGTGATCTGATTTTTTTGGAAATGAAGAAACATGGCAATAATGAGGGGTTAAAACATGGAGCTTGATAATGGCATCTCTAAGATGCTGTGAATGGGCTTGGTTCCATCGAGGATGTAATTCCTGTGTGCATACGCAGTGGCTACATCATCATTGGCCACTCAGTGGCTGAAGAGGACTTCAAAGAACCATGAATTGTCAGCAACTGAGATGGCAGCGGTGGGGGACAGCGCTGGAGAAGGGCACGTAAGTGCACCCTAATGTGCAAGTATGCCATGCATACTTGCACATTTGGTCAAATACAAAAAAGGTTCAAAGTGGTTCACCTGCGCTATACCAGACTGTAAGGCCTTGTTCACACTTGGGCGTTTTTCCTAAGTGCGTCACACGCGCGTTTTCTTCCCGGCGTTTGGCGCGTTTTCAGCTCGTTTTTGTATTTTAGAAACGCGCGACGCACGCGCGTTTTGGAGCAGCAACAGAGGTATCCAATGAAGAAGAATTCCTGTTTTTCCACAAGCGTCCAATGAAAAAGACTTCCTGAGACGCAGCATTTCCAATGAGCCCTAGATGGGAAACATGTCCGGATTGTGAAACCAATTGGCAGCGGGAGCAGTTTCTTCAATTATAAAAAAAAAAATTATTTCGTCCTCTTTGCGGTTGCAGATTCCAATTACTGCTTCCGCTATATTGATGTTGGATCATACGGCAGCAGCTCCGATTTTGCGGTATTTGGCCATTCACAATTGGGACTGAGGTTGAGAAGCGGGGATCTTGACCTCCCGGGGAACGCCGCGCTGCCTGGCACTGCTGAACCTGAAATGCCCTATGTATTGGTAGGAGACGAAGCATTTGCTCTTTGGGAGCATTTAATGAGGCCCTACTCCGATCATGGGCTAAGTCTGGAGAAGAGGGTATTCAATTATAGGCTCACCAGAGCACGCAGTGTTGTGGAGTGTGCCTTTCGCCAATAAACCTCAAACTTGAGAACGCCGTCTCTGCGGTGAAGGCAGCTTGCGCCCTTCACAATTTTGTACGTTGCAGAGATGGGTTTAATTTTGATGATTCATTGGCGCATTGCATGGAGAATAGCCAATGCAGCGCCAGGTGTGGAACAACGAATGGTGGCAGCATTCGTGACCGATTCGCTGCATACTTCATGTCACCTGAGGGGGAGGTGTCATGGCAGATGCAAGCGATTCAGTCTTGATTCCCTTGATCTGATACCAATAAAATATATTTGATTTGAAAACAGACTGTACACACTGCATGCATTCGGCATGAAAACATAGCAGACATGCACGCATGTTACACGGAAATGATGAACACAAGTCTATGCAAACAATACACGCATGACGCATAACAACAGTGCATGCATTCTTCAAGAAAATATTCAACACATAAAAAACATTGCTAATGTTCCTTTTGATTCCTTTGCTTGCTTTGGGAAGGTTTCCCAATCCGGCCACGTAGCTTGTGCGATGTCGGGCCATGCACGTTGCCTGATGCGCCTGTTTTTATCATTTGCATGACGCATGTCATATAGACATGGCCTTCCCTGCACCAGCCGTATGAAGGCCTCAGAATCCAGCATGCCAAATGTGCTTGCATCCTCCATCTTCTCTTCTGTAACCCTCGGCCCTCCCAACACCCACCCCCCCCCCCCCCAACCCCAACAATCTACTAAATGGGCTCTGAAAATGTAACCTATCCACAAAACTTAACTCTAAGCGCCCTCTTAACACCCAACTCTTCCAATACTTGACACATAACACAACCCCTAAGTGAGCTCCTACCAGCACTAGCTGAATTGTATGTACAACCAAAACTTTTTAGTTTTGGATAGAGTAGGGATGATTAAAAGCCGTGTCAGTTTATAGTTTGTTGTCTGTGACCAATGTAGAGACTTGCCTTCACTTCCTATTCCGAACATGCAACAAGTGAAGGAAATCTCGCCAAGTGGTGATAATTACTCTCTTAGAAAGTTGTCACTGAAACAGGTGTCCCCATTGAAAGATTTAATCTCACCTTTTCTTCTGGTGACAACTGTAAACGTTTGGATTTCCTATCACTTACGGTGTATTTATAAAATATTTGCAGAGCCATTTGTCCTGTAAAACTGCATGTACATTTGTTCTGTGCAATTGGAGGCAAATCGAATCGCCTTCGTATCTTTTCTTTACAGGTCGAAAGTAATATCAAGAAGATACTGCATCATTGCCACTAGAGGAGGATAGGAAATAAATGCTTCTTTCTTATACTCCTCAGCTCCATCCAATGGCTATAATGTGGTATTTTACTGATATCACATTCAACCTGGAAAGAAAATATGCTAATAACATTCCTTTTTGTCTCCATTCGCACAGGCACAAAGACAGACATTCCCCTATCTGTACAGTATTGATGACAATGGTCCCAGAGACAAGTAGAGAGCAATACAAATCTGGTGGGGGTTTCTATTTTTTTCTTCCTCTATAAAAAAATGTTTTGGCTAAGCATACAATTTAACCCTTCATTGGTTCATTCTGCACCAGCAGCATTTGCTTAAGGATCTCATAGTGCTGGCGCAGAAATCTCACAACAATGTACGCCATATCTTTGTTGAAAATGACTATTTTTAGGTTAGCCCACATTGAAACTGCTTGTAAACCGTTGGACAAAATGTTACGCTTTCAGGTTTGTTGTACAAATAATAATTGAACCTCTTCTTTTTTTTTCAGTTGCTAAACTGTTTTGTCATCCCCGTGGTCATATTACTATCATGGTTTTTCTTGCTGGTCCGATATAAGGTCTTGCATTTCATTGGTGCTGTAGCGTGTATCCTAGGAATTGGATGCATGGCAGGAGCTGATGTTCTTATGGGAAGACAACAAAAGGAGGGTAAGTTATTTTCTTGTACAGTTTTTTTCAGATACAGGCATCTTTACACAAGGCTGTACACTGTTGCTTTTTAATTAGATAGTAATGAATCATTGTAGAAGCTTGAAAAATAGGGTTTTCACTATAGATATGATATATATATATAATTGTCACCCAAACTGTATTTTCAACATCATTATATTATAATGTATTTTTAGAAACACATCTGCAGCATCCTAAATTTGCCCTTAAGCTTAAGGGAAAGCTGACCAGACCAGAGCAGCAATATCTGGAGCAGGTATGCATGGCAACCAATCAGCTGCTAGCTTTTATTATTAAAACTTAACTGAACAAGCTGAAGATAGAAGCTGATTGGTTCCTATGTACAGCTGTTCCAAATTATGTCTGCCCCCCTCCCCGTCCCTTTGTGTTGTTATCTACTTGGGGATTATGTGATTTTATGCCAGATTGACAAAAATAATGGATATGTACAGTATGTGGGAAAAGTACAGTTACATATTTTAATAGCAAGGGTACAGCATACTTTGGCCATATGCCTTTGATTACAACTAACTGATTATAAATAAGTAAAAATTGGGACTCTCAGGCCTCAATGAATTAAAAATGCCTGGACAGTCTATGAAGCACACAGGTAATCTTTAAAAAGGGTAACAGCCTGCCCTCCTTAATCTAGGTAATAATTAAAACCCCCATCTTTAATTAAAGCATACTGATCATTGAAACACAAAGTACAAAATATATTTGGCCTGCTGCTGTTTTAGTAGAACAAGCATTAGATGAAATAGCAATTATCAGATATTTGTAATTTAGTTTGACTAGCAAAAGTCTGGAAAAATTGGGAGTGCACAGGGTCTGACAGCAGTCAGTATGTGCAGGAGAGAAATGCCTAGGGTATGACAACAATTAGTGTGTGCAGGAGAGGAGTGTAGAGTTCATGCAAGTGGGCTATATGTGAAGTAGAAGAGTTTGGAGGGTATGACAGTGGGCAGCATATGCAAGAAAGGAGTGCAAAGGGTATGACAACAGGCAGTTTGTGTAGTAGAGGAGGGCATGGCAAGACAGTATGGCAAGATGGTGTATGTGCAGAAGAGGAGTGTGGATGTTATGCCAGCGGGCAGTATGTGCAGAAAAGTAGTATGGAGGGTATGACAACAGGCAGTATGTACAAGAGAGAAGTGCAGAGGGAATGACAGTGGATAGTATGTGCAGAACAGGTGAACTGTAAAGTTGATGGGGAAGACACTCAAATAGGAAGAGTGTGCCAGTAGGATTGGGGAAAATGGAGGTTGTAAAGGTGACACCAAATTCAGTGAAGATTATTAGCATGGGCATTGTAATAAAGTCTAAGAACAGTTAAGGTGGTGCTGGGCACTAGTAGATGGAGCAGGAGTTTACGCAGAAATGGGATAGTGGAGCTCACTACTGAAACAGAGTCATTGGAGAGTAGACTGATATTTGGCTTGGTGCATTAAATAAATGTGAGAGAACATTGGACATGTGCTGGAGATTCGGTGCTTAGGGGTTAACGGCTGGGTACTGGCGGCTATGGGATTAACACACATAAGTAGAAGATATAAGAAGAAGGATAAGTGCTAGCAGGTTGAATTGCATATATTGGGTATAGAGTCCTGTGTGTTTAGCTTACATAAGCTGGGTTACTGGGTGGTGAGTGGGTAATGTAAATGCCCGGGGACTGAGCACTGTGGACATAATAAACATGGGCTGAGGACTTGGCACTGAGGGATCGTTGCATAAAGGCAATGGAATTGGTATTGAGGGGTTACGCAAATGAGCTGGGAACTGGGCACTAAGATATTATTCCTTATATGCTGGGGACAAGTCACTGAGGGGCTTATGCATATACTGCATGTTTGTCACTGAGGGGCTTATGCACATGCTGTTGAAGGACATAACTGAGGGCAAAATGCACATACATTGCAGACAGGTCACTGAGGGGTTAACATTTCTAAGCTGGGGGTAGGTGACTAAGGGGTTAATGCTCATTCTCTTGGGGCTGATCACTGAGAGGTTAATGCACATACACTGTAGACTAGTCACTGTTGGGTTAATACACATACTTTGCTGGTGAACAACTGGTTAGAAAGCGCTGTATATTGGTGAGGCATCTCACTGCTGGTATAGAAACTAAAGATTGAGGTGTCTGTGCTGGGGACAAGATACAGCAGAGACGAGTGTATGTTCTACCACACACAAACACAATCTTTCTGCCAAAGAGGAGGGAGCAGAGACTGCTTCTAAACTAAACTTCACTGTGTATCTGGGTTCACTGAGCATTGCCTATGGGGAGGGCATGGACAGTGTTCAATATAACATTTGGGTGGTGGGAGTATGTGACTGCAGACTGATAGGACAATGGAGGAGAATCTAGAGTGCGTGCTGGTGGAAGGATATAGAAGAATGACTAATGTGTGTGCCGGAGTTGGGTTATCACTAGGAAAAGTCCAGTGTATGACCATCTGAGGTGTCTTTCACTGAGGAAATGTGTGTGTTAGAGGTAGGATATTACTGAAGGACCACTAAGAGGATTTGCCCAGTGGCAAAGTTGAAAGTAAAACTAAGGAATTCTATTATACAGAATAGAATAACTCTTACTAAGTATTGCATTCTATTATTAGTAGTTTCAATCTAACTTGATTTGTTTTCTGTTTTCTCAGTTGAGTTTTACCCGGGTGATAGTAAACTCATTGGGGATGTTCTGGTTCTTGGAGGTGCCACTCTGTACGGCATTTCTAGCGTATCCCAGGAATACATTGTTAGAAACCTCAGCCGGATTGAGTTATTGGGCATGATCGGACTTTTTGGATCCTTCTTCAGTGGCATACAGCTGTAAGTACTTACACTAATGACAAATTACTGTTCTCAGTGGGACCGTAGTTATATTCAATAATTGCTAGACTTAAGTATGACTTTAAAAACATATCTATTAATACAAAGAATTGCAAGTGGGGTAGGACAATCTGAAAATGTTTTTGTATGTGTAGGGGGGACCATCTGTGTTAATATGCTGAAAATTGCATTTCCATTTTCCCCTGAAGAGACCATTCACACCAGATGTTTTGGGACTGCGCTGGCCACCTTTTTCAGCACAACACCAACACACTGTCAAGGCTATTAGCCTTGCTTTCAATAGTTTCAGTTCACACCTTATATCCAACAAAGTGAACACAACCTGCTGTAATTGTTTTGATATCCCTTATTATATTGTAACTGATGTGTAGAGAGATATTATAAATGAGAGATAGAAGTTTAAACTGTTTTAATTTACCTTACCTTGTTCCTCCATTCCATCCTCACTAGTATGCTAATATTTTTAAATAAAGCCTTACTGTTTTCATTACATACCATATTTTAGATGTTAGTGATGCCATCACTGGGTGCTTGTGCTTCTCTATGATCTCTATGAAATGCAGGCAGATGATAGGAGGAGCTGGCAGGGTGCTTGTACATATCTTCCTGAAAATATCAAAGCATCCTGCCTCAGTGCTGCTCTGAAGAGCCCCCTTAAGAGGAGTTATGCAAATATCAAAATGCCGTGATGGGTGGATGCCATTCTGGAGGAGTGGGTGTTCCTAGGCTGGCTGTATTTGCATGCAGACTGCCCTAGGTAAGGCCAACCTGTGATGCTGAACTGCCATGACTGAAAAACAAACAAAATTAATAAAAAGTTTTGGCTTCAGTTTAACTTTAAGATTCTATCCCTGGAATTCATAAAGAGTATTGTAGACACTCTGTAGAAATCTGCCCCCCATTCATGGCACCACTTGCAACAGATTCATGTAACCATCAGTAAGGTGTATATGAATTTGTTGCAGAATTGCCTCAGACAGAATTTTGTCTGTGACACAATACTTGTCGGCACCCTTGCGGCTGGCATCCCTTGAGCAGCTGATCGAATGAGCCGGCTGGAAAATCTTCATATGATCAGAGCTGGCAGCAAATGAGCTGCCACCTCTGGTTAGGTATTCTGAAAGCGGATGACTGCCGCTGTCAGAATACAATGCATACAGTGGGATTGACACCTTCATAGTGTTGATGGAGGAATCCGTTCTATTTTTTTCGTTCAGTCCATGGGTTGAATGAAAAAAATAGAACAGTGTATGGCCAGCCTTACACGTGTGACACAATTCACTCCTACATGGAAAAGATCATATTTACCTCCGTTTATCTTATCACCAATATGGCGTATTTCCTAATGAATTTGTCGCAAACATAGCATCAGAATGTAAAATGTTGCACATAAGAACTACGTGAATTTGTTGCATGTGATGGAAATAGCTAGAAAACTGTTGCACAGCTTGCATGAATTTGGCACCAGACTTTGTAATATGACCATAACACCAGAAGTGTTGCAAATGTGAATCACCCCTTATATGTGTTAACCTGCTGGTGTCGCTGTCCACACTTTCCACAGTGACAAAAGATATACTCCTCGCTCTAGGGCTTACCAAATAGCCCCCTCCTATTCTCTTCCCATAACCCTCTTTGGGACAACTGGCCCCTTGTATTTCTAGTTTCTATGGAAGATTATTTGATACAAACGTAATAAAGTCTGTCAATATAGCTCAATGGTCAGGTCACATCCCCAAGCTTCAAACACAGTGACTGCTTCACCTAATTCTGAGTCTATTGGTCACCTCATCCCTCTACTTTATGCCTTCCAAGCAAAATGAATATGCAGAACATAACTAATACATACATATTTAATTCTAAAAAACTGCCAGACTGTAACCATCTTCCTTCTCTTAACAACAAGATTGTCCTAATTATCTAGAAATCTATATACACTATATTGCCAAAAGTATTGGGACACCCCTCCAAATCCTTGGATTCAGGTGTTCCAATCATCTCCATGGCCACAGGTGTATAAAATCAAGCACCTAGGCATGCAGGCTGCTTCTACAAACATTTGTGAAAGAATGGGTCGCTCTCAGGAGCTCAGTGAATTCAAGTGTGGTACCGTGATAGGTTGCCACCTGTGCAATAAATTTCCATGCTACTAAATATTCCACGGTCAACTGTTAGCGGTATTATAACAAAGTGGAAGCAACTGGTAACAACAGCAACTCAGTCACGAAGTGGTAGGCCACGTAAAATGACAGAGTGGGGTCAGTGCATGCTGAAGCGCACGGTGCGCAGAAGTCGCCAACTGTCTGCAGAGTCAATAGCCACAGACCTTCAAACTTCGTGTGGCCTTCAGATTGGCACAACAGTGCGAAGAGAGCTTCATGGAATGGGGTTCCATGGCCGAGCAACTGCATCCAAGCCTCATATCACCAAGTGCAATGCAAAGCGTTGGATGTAGTGGTGTAAAGCAGGCCACCACTGGACTCTAGAGAAGTAGAGACCTGTTCTCTGGAGTGACTAATCACACCTATGTGTCTGGCTATCCGATGGACATGTCTTGGTTTGGCGGTTGCCAGGAGAACGGTACTTGCCTGACTGCATTGTGCCAAGTATAATGTTTGGTGGAGGGGGGATTATGGTGTGGGGTTGTTTTTCAGGGGTTGGGCTTGGCCCCTTAGTTCCAGTGAAGGGAACTCTTAAAGCATCAGCATACCAAGACATTTTGGATAATTTAATGCTCCCAACTTTGTGGGAACAGTTTGGGGATGGCCCCTTCCTGTTCCAACATGACTGGGCACCAGTGCACAAAGCGAGGTCCATAAAGACATGGATGAGCGAGTTTGGGGTGGAGGAACGTGACTGGCCTGCACAGAGTCCAGATCTCAACCCGATAGAACACCTTTGGGAGGAATTAGAGCGGAGAGACTGCGAGCCAGGCCTGACCTCACAAATGTGCTTCTGGAAGAATTGTCAAAACATTCCCATAGACACACTCCTAAACCTTGTGGACAGACTTCCCAGAAGAGTTGAAGCTGTTCTAGCTGCAAAGGGTGGGCCAACTCAGTATTGAACCCTACAACCCTACTAAGACTGGGATGCCATTAAAGTTCATGTGCGTGTAAAGGCAGGCGCCCCAATACTTTTGGCAATATAGTGTATTTATGTGATGCTTGTAAGCTGAAAACTGATATTCTAGCTGTACAAGTGAGAAGAGTAACCTGCGCACTTCTTTTATCACACAGGGACACCAGTGCAGAGATTGCACATAATAGGTGTTTATCATCCACTGTAATATATTATAGTGAACACCAGAGGGCAACATAACAGTACATGTATAATGATGATTGTAGTTGGTTACAGGTGGGATTGGAGGCAGTTCTGTTAGACAATTATTACAGGTTTATTCACAGAAGGGTGAAGAGTTTGGGGAAGACGGGAGAAGTGAACAATCTAGGACAACATAGCTGAACTTGAAATGAAGCTGAATTGGAGAATTTTTCCAAATCAGCTATGTTGTCCTAGATTGTTCACTTCTCCTGCCTTCTCCAAACTCTTCACCCTTTTGTGAATAACCCTGCAAGTATACAGTTAGAACGCATTTCTCCTGCATCTTCTTCCCAAATGTTAAGCACATTGAAGTTACAAAAAACATGACAGTGCTGAATGTTGAGTTTTTTTGCAACCGTACAAGATAACAGCAATAGAACTGGGCTGCTGTAGACCATTTATAGAAATGGAAAAGGTTTAACAATTTAAAACTGAAAATACTTTTGGGTAGAGCTGGACTTTAGTTTCCATGTTTATTTTCGTTTTAACATTTTCACTCTATTAATTTTCATTAAAAAAAAAATCAAGTGCTGCTTTCTTATTTATTATAGTAGATGTAAACTAATTAAATGGCATTTAGGGGGACATTTATAAAGCAGTGGTATAGACTAAAAAAATGACCCCAAATTTATAAAGCAGCAGTATGGACTTATCTATTGTGATTGGAGGAGCAGAAAAATAAGAGCCGGTAGGAGAGCCCAGTTATGTGACATGTTAACTGCCCCTGCTCCAATCACAGAATTCTCCCCCGCTGGATTAAGTAGATAGAACACTGCAGATTCCACACCACGGTCTGCATTTTATGAATGTGCCGCAAAATGCAGGCTGCGGTGTGGACAAACAATTGCGGTTTATTGAGGCTATCGCTATCTGCTTTACTCTTGCTGTTTTAAATGCCCCCCTCAGTTTTCTAAACCACTGTGTACCAAAAAACAATTGCCATTTTTTAATACATGTTTTCCCTTTTTGTCATCCTTGTTGCTTCTTGGTTTTGCTTTTTTCCTGCAGCCTATTTACAGACACAGCCTGTCTACATGAATGCACTCCAGTGATGGCCGAATGGCATTTCTCAAGGCAGGTTTTCTGATGGTGACAACAGTGGACTGTGCTTGTAGCTTCGTGTCTATTGTAGCTTCTATTAGAAGCCTGTGTAATATGGTAACAGCACAGAAGGATAGTTGGGAGACATGGGCAGAGCAATGTCACTCTATGATAGGAAGTGCCTGAAAAAGATCTTTGAGGCATGATCACTTGATATTATTTTAATAATAGCCACAGATTAAAAAATTACATTAACATATTAAAACATATTTATAAACAATTTGCAGGGTCATTCGCCCTGCAAATCTCTGTGAATGTTCGTTCTGTGTGCATAGAGGCATTGAAATCTCATATGTTTTAATATGTGAATGTAATTTCAATAGTAATTTTCAATACTTATATTAAACATAGTATATTAGTATATTATTTTTCAGGTCGAATGAGATGTAATGAAATGCCACATTATGGCCACTAGATAGAGCAGAGAATTTGTTTACTATGCCCCTCAGCTCCATCTAGTGGCCATAATGTGGTATTACATTACATTCGGCCTGAAAGAAAATATACTAAGAATGTTTGTTTGTGTTTTAGTCTCATTGCACAGAACATACATT